ATCTCATAAATATAAACAATTATAACTACAAATTTCAATTTTCAATTTAAGCATATAATAACTTACATATAAATACATTATTTCATTAATGTCAGAGACCTAGATCAAAAGCTGAAAACCAACAAGTTTAATATAAGATCCATTCTTAGTATAACATGTACCCATTTCTTTTTATATAAGATCCATTCAATTTTTTTCTAATCTATATTTTAAACTTCTATGGGTATATTCTATTTTGTTGATCTAAGAATGTATCCCTGTCAAGTTTAATCAAAGAAATTTAATAATGTTATTAAGTCTTTTTTTTTTTTTTGTGGTTTTGGAAAATGTACTCATGTTTTGGTACAATAAATTTTTTTACTATTATTTATGAATGTATATACACAATATATTGGAGAGTATAATTTATTCTTTAATATTTTTAATTCCACTAATTATGGGTTTTATTTAAAATCTCATAAATATAAACAACTATAACTACAAATTTCAATTTAAGAATATAATAACTTACATATAAATACATTATTTCATTAATGTCAGAGACTTAGATCAAAAGCTGAAAACCAACAAGATTTCAGTTAAAGAACAATGATAGTTAGGGACCGCATCCAAACTCTCCCCTTAGAAAATTATTATTCTAAGCAATGCACATCTAAAACTATGATATCTCATCTTATCAATCTTAGATTTAAATAGTGACTAGAGATTACAAAGAGAGATGAAAACAAGTTTAATAACAATTAACGATTTTGTTATTGCATGATTCAGTGAGTTTCTTACTAAATAACATCGTAGAGGAGAAATGATCACTTGTAGGAAAATGATTCAATGAGTTTGTTACTAGATAACATTTGATTCATTTTTTATTTGCTCAATAAAACGATTAAAAAGAAATTAGAGTGTGTATAAGTAACAAATTAATGAGAGTTTGTAAACTGTAAAAAGAAATGAGAGTATGTAATGGGATCGTTAGCAACATAATCAAGAATAATCATATGTTTATCTCATTGAATCAGCATTTTCTATTTGTCAAAGAATAAGACAAACATAATGATGTCTAAATTCTGAAGTTGGAATACAACTATGATTCATTGAGTTTCTATTTGTCAGAAAATGTAAGTTGATGTCTAACTTCAGAGTTGTACGGCTGTAGAGTATGCTATTTATTTCATCTTATACTCCATATTTGTGCTTAGAGATAAAGCAAAAGGATGTATTAGAAACTTCATCAAGCAGCCCTTTTGTTTTAATGGTTTTCCGGTTGATGTTTTGTTTAATGGTTGCTCTTTTGCGACTAAATTGGTGGTTTCATATATTAAGTTCAATTGTTAAAAAGTAGAATTTTTCTTCGGTTTGGACGGTATTTTTTCATATATTTAATTACTTACATAACTTGATCGTCTTTGTTTCAACTCTGTTTGCGTTATGAATAGCAGCTCTTTCCAATTTAACATGGATTTATTTTTACAGTGTAATTATCTACAGAAAATTTCTCTAAAGATGCTGACAATGGAGGGACACTGATTCTGAACACAGTGGGCAAGTCTTTACAAGCTAATTCCGTAGGTAATAGAAACTACGCCTTTTCTCTCTGCTTGCATGCTTTTTAACATAGAGAGAAATTGAAATTGTACTTTAGAATTAGCGTTCTTTTTGATGATCTACTGCCTGGTAAGGGTTCTTGAAATTGTATTTTAGAATTAGTATTTTTCTTGATTCAAAACAAAAGGTCTATAATTTCCTTCCTACATTCCATGTATGTACATAGTATTGCGTGTCGTAAATATATTTACAAATTTTACATGTTTTATACGGTTTTGAAACCCTCAACATAAGGGACCTATGTTTCATTTGTATTTATTTTTAGAACACTTCCAGCCCAGCCAAGTCCCCTGAGCGATGAGCTTTGGAATCCCCCTACCAAGAAAAAAAAAAAAACGGCAGCTCCAGCCCATTCCAATAACCTGGGCTCCCCTGGATCCCCCACTTTTCCCCCAGGTCCGAATTGACTGGCCCACTTTGATGTTAGCCCTGATTAGAAAAATACAAAAAATACAAAAAGTTATAAATTTTTTCTATAAATAGCTAGCCATATTTTTCCACTTTACATCACATTTCAATATTTTCAAATACTTTTTAACCAATCTTTTATTGTCATTTGAAATTAAAAATAAAATTATTTATTATTTTATTAAAAAAATATTTGGTGGAGATGCATTTGGACAATTACTGTTCACTAAAGGCCGTTACTAACTTACTATTCACTTTGACCGATTGGGCTGCCGACGAGAAATGACTCCAAACGCATCTACTTTTGTGTTGAATTAGTTTATTTGTTTAAACTACATAAAGTCAATTCAATAACTCTTGGTTTGAATTAGTTTATTTGTAGCGAAAACTAACCATGGTTTTCGTTACATTGATATTGCTAGCTAATTTGTGATTATCTTCTCCCAGCAAAACTCAATTCCATTTGCAAAGAAGAGATCGATCATGGCGTTGGAGGTGGTAGGTGGAGCCGCTCTCTCAGGTTTCTTCCAGCAAGTATTGTGAAGTTGGATTCTCAGGAGGTCAAGAACTTCATTAGAGGAAAGAAATTGACTGATGGGTTGCTGGAGAAGTTGAGCATCGAGTTGATGTCTGTCGATGCTGTTTATTATGATGCCGAGCAAAAGCAATTACGTGACCCAAGGGTGAAGCAGTGGCTGCATAAGCTTAAAGAGGCAGTCTTACGTGCTGAGGACCTACTGGACGAGATCAAGACAGAAGCGTTAAGGCGGAAAATTGAAGCAGAATTTGGAAGTTGCACAAGCAAGGTACAAGACCTCATATCTGCTTCTTTCCATGCTTTTGATGAGTCTGTAGACACCAAGATAGAGGAAATTCTTGAGAGGCTAAGCTCCATTTCAAAACAAAAGGATGTTTTCGGTTTGAAAGAACGTTGTAGTCACAGAAGCTCACAAACATTGCCTTCAACTTCTTTAGTAGAAGGCTCTGAAGTGTATGGAAGAAATCATGACACGGAAATCATCATTCAATTGTTGCTATCAGATGATGTTACTTGTAATACGATTGGCGTCATTCCCATCGTGGGCATGGGTGGGATCGGAAAGACCACCCTTGCTCAGCTCTTATACAATGATGAGAGAGTGAAGCAGCGTTTTGAGCCCCGAGCATGGGTATGTGTTTCTGATGAATTTGACATTGTTAAGATCACACAAACAATTTATGCATCAGTCACTTCACAAACCTGTGATTCCACAGACCTAAACCAACTTCAAGTCAAACTCAAGGATGCTTTGGCGGGGAAGAAGTTTCTTTTTTGTTTCTTGATGATGTTTGGAACGAGAATTACAATATTTGGGATTCCTTAAGGCGCCCCTTCGAGTCTGGAGCTTATGGAAGTAAGATCATTGTCACCGCAAGGAATGATGGCGTTGCATCTACGATGGGTACTCTTCAAACCCACTATTTAAAGCACTTACTTGAGGAAGACTGTTGGTTTCTGTTTTCCAAGCATGCCTTCAAAGATGCAAGTGTAGATCCAAATCTTGAGGAAATTGGAAGACAAATTGTTAGCAAGTGTAAAGGCCTTCCTTTAGCTGCAAAATCTCTCGGTGGTCTCTTACGCTCTGAATCAAATGTGGAGGAATGGGAAAATGTGCTAAAAAGTGACATATGGGAGTTCTCAGATGCAAAGATTGACATTTTGCCGGCTCTATGGCTAAGCTACCAGTACTTGTCTCCGGAGCTGAGGCGTTGTTTTGCTTATTGTTCCATATTTCCCAAAGATTATAAATTTAACAAGTCTAAATTAATTTTGCTGTGGATGGCCGAAGATCTTTTACAACCCCAAAAGAAGACTATGTTGGAAGATGTTGGAAAGAAATACTTTGATGATCTAATCTCACGGTCATTTTTTCAATACTCGTCTTCAAATGATTGTTTCATCATGCATGATCTGATGCATGATTTGGCGACATACGTGTGTGGGGAATTTTGCATTAGATTGGAAGACCACGACTTCTCATTGGACGTTGTGAGCAAGGGTCGTCATTTTTCTTATTTGCAATATTCATCTAATGTTGATTATAAGAGATTTGGCACTATTTATGAAGCTAAGTATCTGCGCACCTTCATTCTTGGCGTTCTCTATTCGCCGACAGTACAACTTGATCTCATTTTAATGCTACAGTGTTTAAGAGTTCTCAAACTACGTGTGCATGATATCACGAAGTTGCCTGATTTGATTAGCAACTTGAAGCATCTACGGTACCTCGACTTGTGTAACACTCCAATCCAGAAATTACCGGACACGGTATGCAGTTTGTGTAATTTACAAACGTTGTTGTTGTCAAATTGTACATGTCTAGCTGAGTTGCCCACCGATTTGAGAAGACTTATCAACTTGCGCCATCTTGATTTGAGAGGTACGAAAATAAAAAAGATGCCCCCCCCACATGGGCAAGTTGAAAGATCTCCAAACATTTGGAGGTGAGTTTGTCTTGAGCAAAGATGCTGGGGGATACATTGATGAGTTAAAGGGGTTTCAGCATTTGAGTGGAAATCTTCATATTTCAGGGCTTCAAAATATCAAACATGCTGAGGATGCTTTGGAGGCCAAACTGAGGGACAAGAAGCTCAGTGAAATACGTTTGGAATGGGAAGGTGACACTGCTGATTCTCAAAACGATAGCCGAGTGCTAGGCAACCTGCAGCCCAATACAAACCTAAAGGTGCTGGCTATAAAGGGATACGGAGGTATAAAGTTTCCAGGTTGGTTAGGAGATGAGTCTTTCTCTAATCTCATCACTCTCCGACTTGAGAATTGTGGATATTGTTTCTCCCTGCCAACATTGGGGCGGCTAACGTCCCTCAAAAGGCTTGAAATTGATGGGTTGAATGGAGTGGAATTAGTGGGGTCTGAGTTTTATGGGCCTGCATTTAAAACTCTGGAGTTTCTGAGTTTCCGCAGTATGCGGGAATGGCAAGAGTGGTGTTTCCCTGGAGGTGAAGAAGAAGAAGGCGGACATTTTCCTAATCTTTGCGAGCTTAGTCTGGACAACTGTCCCAAACTAACGGGGAAATTACCGTTATACTACTTCCCAAGACTTGAGCGGCTAATTTTGCAGAAAGTTAATATCGAATCCCTTGCTTGTTCGCAAGAATGCAATAAATTCAATATTGAACTCCCATTCCTCCGTGACTTGAGAATATCAGATTGCGCGAATCTCGTATGTTTTGTGGGTGGTGGAGTGCTGCTTGCGCCCAACTTGAAGTGGATAACTATGTGGCGTTCTAAAAACTTGTGGTCAGTGCCAGAGGAGATGCACGCCTCTCTCCCGTCTCTTCAGTCTCTGTCCATAAAAGGGTGTAAAGAATTTAAATCATTTCCGGAAGAATCTAAATTCCCATCCCTCGTTGGTCTGAAGATAAAGAAGTGCCCAGAATTTGTGGGTTTCCCCCATGGAGGACTGCAAGCGCCCAACTTGAAGATGATGGAAATCTATGAATGTAACAAATTCGGGTCACTGCCAGAGGAGATGCACGCCTCTCTCCCGTCTCTTCAGTTTCTGTCCATAGAAGGGTGTAAAGAATTTAAATCATTTCCGGAAGAATCTAAATTCCCATCCCTCTATGATTTGAAGATAATGGCATGCCCAGAATTTGTGGGTTTCCTCTATGGAGGAGGACTGCAGGCGCCCAACTTGAAGAAGATGGAAATCAAAGGATGTAACAAATTCAGGTCACTGCCAGAGGAGATGCAAATCTCTCTCCCGTCTATCAAGTCTTTGTTCATATTTGAATCTCCAGAATTGGAATCATTTCCGGAAGGGGGATTGCCGTCTAAATTGCGGTCACTCGAAATCTGGAGTTGTAAAAAACTGATGGCAAACCGTATGCGGTGGGGTCTACAAACACTCACCTCTCTCAAACACTTGGCTGTCAACTTCTCAGAATGTGAAGAAGAAGAAATTGTCGAATCATTTCCAGAAGAGGGGCTGCTGCCAACCACTCTCACTTCTCTTAGAATCTCCCATCTTCCGAATCTGAGAACCATTGACGGCAAGGCGTTAGGACACCTCATCTCTCTCGAGATGTTGGATATATCTTTTTGTCCTCAACTCCAGAGTTTGCCAGATGAAGGGCTACCCGCTTCTCTTTCTCGTCTGCAAATCTTCCAGTGTGATTTGCTTACACAACGGTGCCAGAGAGACACTGGAGACGGTGCCAGAGAGACACTGGAGAAGATTGGGCCAAGATTTCTCACATCCCCTACATATGGATTGATCACCGAAAGATATGATTTGCAATTGTACGTAATTCGTCGACGTGCGTTTATGTGTTTATTTACTATCTGGCTCTGTGAATTTAAATCATAAACATGTTTCAAATGTTAATATTCACGTAATAACAAATTTTACATGTACTCATGACCCATATAAACTTGAAAGTATTTGTGATAGAAAGATACGGAGCTACAAAAATTCCAAATCTGGTAGGAGATGACTCGTTCGTTCTCTCATCTTGTTACTCTTCGACTTGTGGATTGTGAATATTGTTTTTCAATGCCAGCATTGGCACAGCTACCGTCTTCTCAGCAGGCTTGAAACTGATGGGTTAAATGGAGTGGAACTGATTCAGTGTTGGTTTTACTCTCCCTCTTTTCTTACTGTGTCTTATGGTGGTTCTATTATACGACAATTTGTTGTATCGAACTAGTCGTCGATGAAAAAGGAGCTTCAACAAGTTTATGAGCTCTAGTTTCCGAATTTCCTTTTTCAAGTTTGTTTCCAAATTGTGTCTATTGAGAGGTAGATTTTGGTACTTTGTGGAATTCAAATTCAAACGTTTGGTTTGTAAAATATGGATGATGATTTCGTTTGGAACTGTGAATCTATGATCATGCATGAATGTTGTAAGACTAGAGTATCGAAAACCCTCTGTTGTTTACTAATCAATCTCAAGCGGTCTAAATTTGACTTGTTTAATTAGTATTGCAAAGATGATCTTATCTGTTAATCATGTCTCATCAAATGATTACCATTTCATCATGCCCTTAGGGATGCATAGAGCTACAAAAGTTTTCAAGTTGCTTCGCATGTGTAGGTTTGGAGTCGTGCAATGATATGTACGCAAAAATTATGAGCAAACAAAAGTAACAACTCGTAATCATAAATTTTGGCTGCCGGAAAGTCTCAGTAGTACCAGAGAAGATAAGCTTGTGATAAATTTCTAATTCTCAAAACAGACAAAACAAGAGCAAGGAAATCTACATATTAGTACCCCTAGTTGGCCGGCACATATGATTTATTTTACAAGCATGTTCTTCATTATGGTGCTGTGTCCGACATGCATATCCATACCAGCAATTTTTCCCTGTTTGATGCCTCTGTGGGTAGATGGTATTTGGGAATCAAAAATCCGAAACCAGTACAAGAGTAGGGAGATCAGCTTCTCATAACAGTAATTGCACGTGGATGTCCCAGAAGTTATCGCCTCAGCATGATTCAGGGGCATCCTTGTTCGATCAATTTCTCTGTTGTTCAACTTTGCAAGCCATTCTGCAACGACATCCTGCAATGTTCTCCCCAACTGTGCAATACACTTTTCAGTGATAACTTGTTCATGTTGATTGTTTTCATGCGCTTGAGGTAGGGATTCCAGAGATGGCCCATTCTGAGATTGGTTTAAAAGTCTCGCGACTGCACACACGGTGAGAATCACTCTGAAACCCCTTGAGTATGCCAATATGTACCGCAAAATGCCTTATCACATCCTAAAACAGTGTTGAGGTACATTGTTATTGGTGCGCAAAGGCATCATTCCTCCGCATGCTTGACATTGCAGATGGATAGTGGTTTGATTGCAGCGGAACCCACCATATTCAGTACCACATTGAGGGCATGGATTTGATGGATTATCAGCTTCTTCATCCACCTGGGAGCGAGCCCTTTTTCGACGAAGATGTTTTTTCAGAGTTTATGACAAGATTAGATTGTATTGTTGCACTAGAGTCTAAAATTGCCACTTCATCGTTGGTGTTTTTTAGTGAAGATTTCATCCGCAACGTTAAGCAAGAAGTGATTTCTTCCAACAAACTGTACAACTGCTCGACATTGGGGACAGAGTATACTTGAACGTTTCTCCTGTGATCTCTTTAACCACTCAGAGAAGCATCCGTTACAGAAATTATGGAAGCAAGGAGCAACGGTAACTACATCATGCCATATGTTTCAAGCAAATGCAGCATATTGCATGCTCGGCATCCATAGAAATCTTTAACTTCTTCTGACAACTTTCAGGACCAGGCAATCGTTGAACCCGTAGCTTAAATACCCTTCCTTATCGGGACCTGAATAATTTCACTTCCGATCTGATAACAATAGTGTTCTTCAGCTTGGATTACAGTCCGTCAACAACTATTGCATCTGAACTTTTATTTTGTATTGTGGCAGAAGAGTGGTCTGAATTCCTTGTTACCTTGCACCACTTGCATTTGCGAATAGAAGAGACAAGATCTCTGAGCAAACTACAATCTCACATGAACTAAACTCAACATCCGGATATCTCGAGTCTGATGGAACAAGTTTTGGCCCAGAGTTCTTCACAGGGTTTTTGCACCCGAGCTCTCTCCAACTTCTGTATGTATACACAAAGGACCCAGGAACCTTTAATTTAGATCTCAAAGATAAGTAATCGGCCATTGTTATATTCAATTAATTTCATGAGCAACAGATCAATTTTAATTTCTAAATTATCAAACAAAATCTTTTACCGCTAATTAGATAATTCATACAAGTACGAAAAAAACAGATTTTGCACAGATTCATTAAATATGCTATGGTAACGCCCCAAACATTTTCAACACCGATAAACATATCAACTTCATGTTTCAGACATCCTACAACTACATCCTAAATTGGGTCGTAACAATTCCAACAAACATAAAAGCTCTTAACTCAAAGCATAACCACATACTAGCAAAATTCATGGAAGTTATTAAGTGCCAATTAACAAGAGAGTCAAAAAGGCTTGAGGGAGAAGGGGTCCCCAGCAGCGGCATCATTTCTGGCCGGAGAAAGGTTCATTCTCGTAATATAATTTATACCACAGAACACATACAAACGGATTTATGGGGTTTTGTAATTCGTGACGGGTGGAGACACAATTGTCATTCTAAAAGAACAGTTTCTCAATTCTTGAATTAAAACCTGGACTCCAAGATTGCAAAACCACAGAATGTGGTGATTCCTTTAGAAAATGTATATCATGTTTACTATATGTTCAATAGTTTGAACCTTCGTTTTATGCAATCTCGCTCTTGTTTTTGCTCTCTTGTACAACCTAATTTTCAACACAATTCTCCCACACGGAAAACCAATTCAGGTCTCACTTGGAAATTGTTTCAAAAACCCTAACAACAAAAATGAAAAGTTTGCAACGTTGGCCAATAAAACAATCAAAGGTGAAAACAATTTGAAACTTTCACAGGATTCTTACATATAGAACTATTAAAATATATTACTAGTTTAGGAATAATTGGCAGGTTTTCATTAAGGAAAACTGGAAACAATAGCCAAAATTTAACCCCTAATCCCATGGAAAATCAAAGAAAGTTTGCAACTTTAGCCAAAGTTTGATCCTTTAACCCCCTCCCAGTAACATTTGAACCAATTCGCGCAGTAATTAAACTCACAAATTCTAGAGAATGTTACAAGTGAACAAGATTTACCAAAATTTCCAGATTTGTACACAAAATATCCAGGCATAACAGGAAATCATAAATACCAATACTTTAATGAACAAGAAAAAAGATGAGAGAAAGAAATACCTGTTGAGAGAAAAAAATAGGATGGGAGATGAGACGAGTAATTGTGGGATTCAGTGAAAGTGCCACTGAACAGATGCGAAGAAGCTTTGTTTTAAGAAGGAGATGATGAAACCTGTTCAGCAAAGTGAGCACGGAAGAAGGCTCTGTTTAAATAAATAAACAAGAAAATTTAAGAGAGAGAGAGAATTGAAGAGTGAAGGGCTTGTTAGGACTAGGCCTGCTAATGCTTTGTTGTAGTGGGTTGGTATTTCTAGTATTTTAAGGGAAAAAAAAAAAAAACGTTTTGTTGTGTTGTGAGAAATCGAGAATAAGTCGAGCGTAAAATAAGACAATTGATTGTTTGGTAAACTTTTTCTTGTAAAAGTGCTTACAATTCTTGGGAAAAGATGGTGAATTATACGAAGAGGAGGCTGAGAGATTTCTTCTCCAAATTTTGCAAGGTTGAAGAAAATGCTCTTTAGGATTATGTTCATTTTGTTAAAATAGTGTTTTGTTTCGGTAATGCTGGAGCTGGTAAAGTCTGTATCGAAGTTCATAAAAAGAGAGAACCCTCGATCATTTTTACCAAGCAGAAGTTATGTTTTCGCTTAAATTTTCTTGGATTCACTTTCTGGTTTTAGGAGAGAAGTAGATTGTAGGGCAGCTGGGAATTGGATGTACCATGGTCCATGAATATGCGCAATTGTTCTCTCGAGAAAAAAAACGAATAATACAAATCTGTCCCTATACATTTATGCATTGCCTTTTTCTTTCTTTATTTTTATTTTTATTAAATAAATTTCATTAAAACTCCTATCAAGAAAGAGAAAAAAGTATATCAAACACGCATAAAATATAGCGAACCAAACAAAAACAAGAACTTTACGAGAAAAAAACTTTAACATAAACACAACCAAAAACTCATGTCGCTTTAAGCTCAATTTCTTGCCAAGCCAGACAATCTAAACCCTAAACGGATCATAATTCTTGAATCGTGAGTACTACGGCCACCACATGAATGAGCACCACCATCAAAACAAACCGCATCTAGTCGTAAACACACAATAAGTCAGCCATAACTAAATGCAGAACTTAATATAAATATTAAAATCGTCATTGTTGTTCCTGGACCGGACAAAGCCTAATCTTTTGACTGATTTTCTTAGAGCATTTACCGGACAATCATGGAGATATTTATGCACTAATTAACTGGGATTATCTTGAGTAACTTTGCTCACCAGACAACATTGTGCCATATCGTACGGACCAAAATGGACCATATTTTACTATCTAACGGAAATTTTTAAGGATGACTAGAATACGATCTGATACGTTAATATTATAATAAAAGTGTTGAAAAATACCAAATTATATATTTTCCTGTACATTGAAAAATATCTCAGTCTAAAATCAGATGTGATATGTGTTCCATTTCCATCAGGTACGGTCAGTAAGGATAATCTTCGCCATAGTGTAATATTCCATTTCACTCGGATGCATGCATGGGAGTGGAAGTATAATTTTCACTGATGAAGCAAATCAGGATAAAAGCAGACATTAGGAAAAAAGAAAAAAAAAAAAAAAAAAAAGTAAACTTATAATTTTGTTGTAATGTTATACCTCAGTTAACTTTTCCATTAATTTTTCTGTTAACTGCTGACGTGAGACCCACTATTTTGCTAATCAGAATAAAAAATTAATTAATTAATAAAAAATTATTTGTTATTTATTTAAAAATTAAAAATTAATTAAAACAAACAAACCTTTTTCTTCCTTTTTTCCCCAGAAACCGTGCTTTCTCCCCAACGCCCCTTCGTCCTCCTCCGCCGCCTTCTTCCTCCTCCGTCCCCTTCATCCTCCTCTTTAAACACAAGTGTCGGATCTTTTCTGGCCCGCTTCGACTGACCCAGAGAACGGCCATCTTTTCCCTCAAACTCTCCCTTCTCTCCTAACGCTCACCATCTTTTCTTCTCTGTGTTTACAGAGACGCCGAGCCCCAGAGAAAGGCCATCACCAGACCACCACCACAACTGTGTCACTCTCTCTTCTTCT